TATCTCTGTTTGTATTATGGTCTTAACTTCCAACCACCTCTCCTCCAGGCTGGGAAATTGATTGTCTAACGTGCCCTTGCATCTCGCTTTCCATATTACCCAGAGGGTCGCTCTCCTCCACAGGTCCGCTAAAGATGTTTCCTCTTCTTCCAAGTCGTTGTCTACAATCCTCCCCGCCAATAGGTAAACCTTGTTGGAGGGAAAGGTGTGACCTGTTGATTTGGCCCAGAGTGCTTTTGTTCTGCCCCATAGTTCTTGTGCACGCTGACAGAGAATGAGGCAGTGCGTCAATGACTCTTCCAGGTCTTCGTTGCACACTTTGCACCACGCAGATTGTTGTTGGGGATCCTCTTGTTTTCTTCTTTTGCTCAACCATTGGTTGACCAGTACTGCCCAATATAGTATGAGCCATTGTAAGCTACTGATTCATGCTGGCCTTATACTAGTATACTTGCTCCATGGGATTCTGTTTGTCCATCCTGCATTTTCTCCCAAGTTCTTCTTCCATCTATCTGTTATTATCTGTTGGGGGTCCTTTGTGTTGTTTCTTAGTCTATAACCCACCTTGGCTTCGCAGTCGTAAATTGGTGTGAGCTTTTTAGCTCTTCCAACGCTACCTGGGATGTACCAACCCCATTTTGCTGGGTCCATTTCCAGGTCTTTAATGTCCTGGTCCGGCCTAAAGATCCAGATTTCCCCTTGCCCCCATTCATAGTTAAGGGTCTTTTTGCGGTTAGTTTTGGGTGAGCAGATTCTGACTTTTCTTAGATCTTTGAGTTCGATTGATAATCTTTGTTCTATTGTCTTTTCGGGTTTTACCCAGGATTTGTGCGTGTCCATTAGCTCAAAGGATTCAAACTCTGCCTTCCCTTCTTCTGTGTCGAGCACTTTAATCAGCTTGTATCCCACGAGTGGGGGGTTTGGTCCCTTTTTTGTAGCCCAGTCCCCTGCTCTCGATTTGGCCTTGGATTTTAAGAGCAGTTCCCATCTCAAAGGGACGCTTTCTAACAGCCTTTCTAAATGTTCTTTTAAGTTGTGGACTCCTTTGAGTTTGGTTCTCAATTCTTGAGTCGTGGACCATCTATTATTTTCGTTGTTCCATAAGTGTTCCACCTTCCAAACTCCATTCCCCATCCACTTCCTCCAATGTTTACCTTTAGAATTCAGAGTCCAGGGTTTGTGATTTTGGTCTTTTAAGAGAGGGTTTCCGAATAAAGGTTGTCTCAAGACTTCCTCTCTAACTTGTGGTGTTCTTATTTTCTGTGGGAAATAGTCTCTCCAGTGTTTTATCAAGGAAGCCCAGTGGTTACTAGGTGGATCTTTTCCTTTCATCTGTCTTCTTCTATCCTTTCGTGCTGGGTTCCATGCAGGGTTGAGTATCCAGTGGTAGCCTTCTATATTCGGGTCCACTTTGAACGGGACTAAATTGCGGATCTGGTGTAGGGCCATGTTGTGCCATGGGAGTTCTCTGTTGAAGAGCAGTTTGATTATCCATTTAAGCTGTAGTGCCTGGAATTGTGAGACTGGGTTCAATAAGCCCAAGCCTCCTTGTGATTTGGGCCTGGTAACATATTTCCAAGCCACTTTGGAGATGTACTTGTCTTTATCCGCGTTCCCCGTCCAGAGGTAAGCCCCAAGTTTCTTTTTGAGGTTGG